AAAACATGTACGAAGAAGTCTTGACAAAACATTTACGAAGAAGTCATGACAAAACATTTACGAAGAAGTCTTGACAAAACATTTACGAAGAAGTCTTGACAAAGCATGTACGAAGAAGTCTTGACAAAACATTTACGATGAAATCATGACACTTTTTCATTAGATAACTGTTATTTTTTGACGAAGTGAACATTGACACTTCGTCAAAAAAATCCCTGAAATCATATCTTACATACAAAAAAATACAAAAAAATGACACTTTTTCATTAGATAACTGTTATTTTTTGACGAAGTGAACATTGACACTTCGTCAAAAAAATCCCTGAAATCATATCTAACATACAAAATAAAAAAATAAAACTAACTTTATTTTTTCTATCTTAAGGAAATTCATGAAAATTCAAGAGGTGAAAAAAAGAGGTGAAAAAACAGGTGAGATCGCACCACTTCACCTAAACATTATTTTTGGGTCCTTTACACTCATTACGATGAAATCATGACAAAGCATGTACGTTCATGTTTGACAAAACATTTACGAAGAAGTCTTGACAAAACATTTACGAAGAAGTCTTGACAAAACATTTACGAAGAAGTCATGACAAAACATTCATGAAGAAGTCTTGACAAAACATGTACGAAGAAGTCATGACAAAACATTTACGATGAAATCATGAAAATTCAAGAGGGTAGAAAAGAGGTTAGATCTAACCTTCTACCCTAAATTATATTTTTTGGTCCGGGAACAACTTTCTCTCAATAGGGGCTGTAGCGTACTCTTTGCGTAAGCGGTTCAGACCTTCTTCGAACTCTTGGGCTCTCTTCGATTTGTATTGGAATTGGAATTGTTGGGGTGGAGCTTGCTGGAACATCCAAGGGTTGGGGAAGTAAGGCATAGGCAGAGGAGGGTAGTTCGGGAAGCCTTGTGGTGGGTAGTAACCTTGAGGTGGAAATTGGTAGTAAATCGGAGGTACTTGCTGGAACTGAGGTGCAGGGGCTGGTGCTTTAGGTTCCTCTGGTTTGGGAATGGACTCGGTTGGTGGTACGTCGGACATTGTTCTGAAACAGTACAAATATTGTTCTGAAACAGTACAAATATTGTTCTGAAACAGTACAAATATTGTTCTGAAGCAGTACAAATATTGTTCTGAAACAGTACAAATATTGTTCTGAAACAGTACAAGTATTGTTCTGAAACAGAAAATTTTTCTCACAAATTGAGAGCTTTTACGGGAAATTTGTTCTGAAAAAGTACAAGTCTTGTTCTGAAACAGGACAAGTATTGTTCTGAAGCAGTGCAAGTATTGTTCTGAAAAAGTACAAGTATTGTTCTGAAGCAGTACAAGTATTGTTCTGAAAAAGTACAAGTATTGTTCTGAAGCAGTGCAATGGACAACATCGAGCCATTTGACGAGGCAATTTACCTAATTTAAATTAACGACTGCATAAAAGACTACTTGCGCAAGGTCATGAAGCCCAAGGTCAAGTTCACCACTATTTCTGGAAGGGCTGCCTTGACTCTCGAGATTTCGACTGGAATTCCAATTCAAATACCAGACGGGACAGCCTACGATGGCATAAAGCAAGCAAAGAAGGAAGCCATTATAAAGTTCTTTGCCAAGCGTCCTTGGATACTACTTCCAAACAGAGAGAGTCCAATTCCACGAATTATACAAATTCTCAGAGCACTGTTCCACTTCTCAGGACAACCGTTCTTCATAACCTCAGAAGGCGACATCCAACCAGTTCAGTAAACCTTAACGTTTAACTTCACTTTTTTATGTTTTTTGTGAAAGTGTCAAAAATAAATTGTTTTCATGAGTTTTCTACGATGTTAGAAAACGTGTTATTTTCTAATATCTTCACATTCAATACTTTTTCAGCACTTTTCCGTAGTTATATATGAAAGACAATTCGAGATAAAAGTCATAGTACAGTGGAATAATATGTTGCACACCATTTGTTGTGAACCAAACTTGAAAGTCAGAGAAACTGTTACTAGGTGGTTCGTAGAATTTAGAAGCAAAGTCATAAAAGTCCTTACCAATACATAGAAAACTATTGTTGCTTGAACTGAAACTTGCATGACACATAACATTTTGAGGGTCAAACACGTTTCTATAAACTGTCAAATCTGCTGGTGGAAGTATAAATTTAAATGGACCATCTGGTGGTAATGGTTCGTTCTGGTTTAGTAACCGAAGAAATTGTGCCCAAGAACGTTTGTCTACTTTCCAAAATAAAAACTCTGTATCTCTTGGAGGGTTAATTTCAATCTTTTGAAATGAAACGGTGGAGTTCATCTTGTCATATTCTAGTTTCAGATAGTATGTTCCATTTAGTAAAGAGTCGTATTTTTCTTGAAATTCCCAATAATATTTGTTCATTTGAGTTTGAAAGTCATTTAGAGTTTTCTCAAGACTTTCGTCTGAACGAACTGTAAAGATTCTCATTTCGTCAAATTTGTCTATTAGACCATCATGACCTTTATACTGCCATGAAAATATACTGCGAACATAAATGCGTTAGTTCTATTTGAAAACAAAACTCTTCTAAATCCTATTGCCTTTGCATCTGAAGGACTTTGAAGCCAACGAATTGGATAGTCAAACCTGTATGCTCGGGATGAAATTTCTTCATCTGAAATAGTCCTACCAGCATTTGTAAAGATATAGTCTAACGGTTTTGTATCTGCTACTTTTGTTCTTTGTTTTTCAACCTGAAGCATTTAATATATGTAAAATATATTGTTTTAAAAATGGTATGCCATTTCATATTTCTCATCTAACAAACAAGTTTCCCAACGGTCTTCTCCAACAAACTCAGCGTACATTTCAAATAAAATAAAAAAATATTTTTCTTTACTTAACATAACCGCCTGCTGCCATAAGTCTTTGACGCCAACCCATACCAGCTAATGAAGGTTGACTTGGTTTAGTTTCCAAACTAAACTTTGGTTTTGGTTTATCTTCAGTTTTTGGTTTTTCTTCTTCTATCGGTTTTTCGTCACTTTTCGGTTTCTCTGACTTTACTTCACTTGCAGGAACAGTTGTGTCGTCAACATCTTCATAAATATCATATGCCATTTGTTTTTGTTTTCCTTTCAACTTTTTGTGTTTGTTGTAAAGTTTAGAATATTTCGACTCTAAGTCAATGAGATGTTCTATAATGAACTGTTGGTCAGTGAAGTAAACTTTTCCATCTGTTGTCTCGAAAGCTCCTTCAGACTTCAATATTTTATTTGTGAGAGTCTGTTTTCTTTTGAGATACTAGCCGTTCCATTTTTATGAAAAGTGACTTTATAGTTAGGGTTTGTATTTCCAGACCTGGCACTTTCTATTATTGAATTTTTCTCTTCATCTGTAAGTTCTTTGACAGGTTTTGACAATGGTTCTGACTTTTTGTTTGTGGTGTCAAATCTACCGTTTCAACTTCTTCGGTCATTTCATCTCAGTAAAAAATTTTAGTTTGGTTTGTTTTCAACTGGTTGTTGTTGTTTTTTAAGTCGGTCTAAAACTTCCTGAGGTATAGGAAGAACTTGACAAACACGTGGTGTAACTGCTGGAAGTCGACAAATCCATCTTGAACCCATTTGTCTCAATGCTGTATTGTTCATTTCATCTCAGTAAAAAACTTTACATTCCCCACGTTTGAGGCGGTTGAGGTTGGTTATTGTTTACCACTGTTGTGCATGGTTATATCCTCTGTTAAAGAATCTTTCACCTTGGTCCATATAGTGTCCTGCTTGGTTATAGTAGTCATTTGCTTTGTTATAATAGTTTCCTGCTTGTCTTCCTACATTGTCCATCCATCCTTGAACTTTTCCTCTTGTTTCAGGATTTGGAATAAGATTTGTTGCATCTCGTGCTACATCCCAACCTTTCTGTACAGTTTGTATAATAGGTTGTGCTTTCTCTTTAAGTATACCTAATGTACTCAAATCTTCCTTCCAACTCCAAATACACCTCTGGCTATTGTTCCCACTGCGGGCAAAAATCTGGATGCAACTCCTGCTAATGCGCCAAATAAACCCATTTCTTATAGGATAAAAAATGACGAATCCAAACAAGGACCCTATGTTTCTAAAGCGACAAAGAAAGCACTCATGGTAAAAATCTTTAGTTCAACACCAAATGCTTGGTTTATGGATATCTTGGAAAACATTCCGAGAGTTAGAACAGATGGACCACCATACTGGCTAATATTTGTCGGTCAAAACACAAGATACTGTGAAGCCATACCATTATGGTCCAAAAATATTTTAGATGTGAAAACTGCTTTGACAATATTCGTTGACAAATACCATCCAACAAAACTGACATCTGACTGTGAAAGTTCTTTCAAATCAGATGATATTAAAAACTATCTGCGTTCAAAAATGTAAACCAATATTTCATTGTCGACCAAAACCATTCTGCTCTTGGTGTCATTGACGGTTGTATAAAAATGTTAAGAGACTTAAACCAACCACAAGGTGGTGAAGCAAATGAAATGTCATATGACGACAAATATAGACACTTCTCCATGGCAAAGATGAGACAAGTTTTAAATATTTACAATAACCGTAAACAAAAAGGTTTGGGAAACCACTCCCCGAAGAAATGAAAAACAACCCTGACTTAGAGAAAGACTATATATTTAATAATTTAGTCAAAAGAGACAAACAAGAAAGAATGCCGGGCTTCAAACTTCAGAAAGGCGACAAAGTAAAAATAGAAATACCTAAACGCGACCATATGAAAATACTATTGACTATGACAACAATGGGAACCCGACAGGTACTCACATTCGTGTTCGTAAAAATAGAAGAAAGTATACAAGAGAATATTATGAAGTTTAGGCAAACATGGCAAAATGTACAGACTGCAAGCAGAAGATAAAACTACTATTGTCAGACCTCGTTTCAAACTTGTCAAAGTTCAAGGTGGTATACTTTCAAAGACAGTTCCTAACAAATATAAGACAACTCCTGACGAATATGCTAAAGAAGTTGAAAATGACGACTAAGCAATTCTATACCATGCGTAAACTGTCATGTAAGGTGGCATGTATTCTTTACTTTGTCCCGTTGTTTGTGTATATCCTGAAACGAAATGTGTATGGTTTCCTTCTCCCTGAGTGTCATCCCAGTAACAATTTATAGCAAACTTAACGTCGTCTTTAACATCATATCCTTTACCTTTTGTCATTCCTGACCAATCCCAATATCTATGCTTATGCCAACCTGCTTGAGATGTACTTAAATCTATGTAGTGACTGTGTGCAGGTAAATTTTCACCTGAAATCGTTTTACTTCCACCTGTTTCCTTTGAAGAGTTTGCACAATACAAAAACCTGTCGACTATTTGTTCCCATGCACCAACACCAAACATTACTTGAGGACCTCTTGCTTCCATAGATGTATAAATAGAACCTACTGGGTTCATTAAATCAAACATATGAGACATTATAGGATTGTCTCTTTTGAACTTAAAATATAGTGCAACTATTTCAGGTTTCTTCTGGTTTGTGTCAGAATATTTTTTATAATATAATCTTATGTTTTCAGGGTAGGTAAAATCTTGACTATAATATTTATTTCTGTCATCTTCATAATAGTATACTATTCTCGTTTTTTCTATTGCATTATATCTTTTATATCTATAATAATCTAAATATAATGTTAGCTTTTGTTCATCTACATGTGGTGTTCTGACGTCATCTCCATAGTCATAATAATATGGTGCTGGAGCTGGGTCAGGCAATGTCATATCTGTCATTTCATAAACTCTTAAATATTTCTTTTGTTCGTCTCCATATAAGTTTAAGTAGCAGTTGTTGTCTAATGGAACTTTAACTTGTGTACCATCATTCTTTTTATAGCTTACATACATTTCATTGTTATTTTTCGGAATGAGTTTACACCGTGTACCATTTTTTAAGGAATGTACAAACTGCCATCTAAAATATTTATTTTCTTCATTGAAAGAAAAGTCACCAACAATAGTTTCAATATTTTTTGTTCCTATCAAACTTTGGTATATTTCATTGACATATGTTTTATCTGCTTTCTTTTCAAGGCTAACGTTTAAGTCTGTTATTTCAGAAGATGTATGTGTATGTCCAACGGCACTTTTCCTGTTTAAGGTTTCTTGTAGGTTTGTAATATTTGCAATTGTATGTGTATGTCCAACGTCACTTTTCCTGTTTAAGGTTTCTTGTAAGTTTGTAATATCAGATATAGAATGTGTATGAGTCTTATTTGCTTTTGTCTCTAATGTTTCTTGTAAGTTTGTAATATTTGCAATGGTATGTGTATGTCCAACGTCACTTTTCCTGTTTAAGGTTTCTTGTAAGTTTGTAATATCAGATATAGAATGTATATGTCCAACGTCACTTTTCCTGTTTAAGGTTTCTTGTAAGTTTGTAATATTTGCAACGGTATGTGTATGTCCAACGTCACTTTTCCTGTTTAAGGTTTCTTGTAGGTTTGTAATATTTGCAATTGTATGTGTATGTCCAACGTCACTTTTCCTGTTTAAGGTTTCTTGTAAGTTTGTAATATTTGCAATGGTATGTGTATGAGTCTTTTTAGAATATTCGTTTTCAGCTCTTGTCACTTCACTTGACATTTTATTGTCAACATATGTTTTGTCTGCTAGTTCAGGATGAGTATGTTCTTTTGTTGCATAAGCATTGTTAGCTCTTTCTTCTTCTTTTGCTATTGCATCGTCTACATATTCTTTGTCAGCTTTGTTGTCAACATCTGTTTTCAAAAGAAGTTCATTTATAGGTTTCTCGTTTAAAGTTCCTTTTGTTGGATTTATACAGACAGTATGGTTCTTATTGTCTTGAAACAGAAACTCATCTGTCATTGGGTTTAATGTCAGTTTTAAGTTTCCTTCTTTCAATGACTCAGATATCTTAGAATAGTTTGAAAAGTTTGTTGTGTTCTTATTTAGAGCTTGCATAATGAGTTGTCGGTTGTGTTGTATTTCTCTCATAGACGCTGTTTCATTTGACATTTTTATTCTAGATAAAATATGCTTCCAATAGAAAAAGAAAATTCAAGAGTTGCTACAACTAAACCATTAGATGAACTTTTTACTAATGTCGGTCAAAAGTTTGAGACAGAGACCGTAAAGCATGAAGGCTATCGTTTTGACTACCCATTAAGATGGCTAAGAGACCCATCCGTCACAAAAGCTATTGGCTTTCGTAGAATGAAGTTCATTTCAGAAGCCATACATGGTTTCCCATTTACGGTCGGTTTTGAAGTTAGATACTATAACAAAGAAAAACGTATGTATGAGAAATTTGAACAGGGAAAACTTTTACAAGTTAGTTTGCTTGTAAACTTAGAAACAACTCTTCAAGCTTTTCAAGAAAAAATAAACGATATCTATATCGAATATGCAAACCAGTATAACATTGACGAGGGAGAATACCATCTCGATATTATTTATGACAGGAAAAATGCAACTGTTAAAATCAATAGAATAGAAGACCTTGGAGAAAACGTTTATATTTCTACAAAATATAACAACTTGGCATGGTATAGATTTATGAGGATGTTAAATCAGCCTGCAGCATATCCAGTACACCCAGACTTTTATGAAGTCGAAAACCCTAATGGAACATATGAAAATGTTTTCGACCCAGCTGCTATTATTGTTCATGCTTCATTTTCTGGCGCCCAAAACTCTTTCTTATGCTTGGCAAATGACTTTTACGAAAAACCTACAAAGTTATACGAACCACCAAGTGGAAGTATTTCAGACTTTCAAGTATGGTTTACTACAGATGGAAGAAAAAGAATAATTCCATTATACCATGCGTTTTACTTAGAACTTAGTTTCATATACAACTACTATCGAACGGTAAAAAATAATTTTTTAATACGGTTGAGGTGTTGGATTTGGTTGCCAACTAGACTGTGGTGCAGGTTCAGGCTGTTGTATAACAGGAGCTTGTTCTTCTGGTTCAGGGTCTTTAGGTATAATACCAACAAACTGACCTACTCTTTTACCAATATTTTTGACTCCGTTCCAAATTCCTTTTCCTACGGTTTTGACGCCATTCCATATACCTCTTCCAACTCTTCTGAAGAAGTTTCCAATACTACTGAAGAAACCCATTTTACTATATGTAAAAATCTAATGTCCGCCTAGTCTTTTGCGTTTCCTGTTGAGTTCCATAGCATTCTTTAACTGGAGCTCATACATTCTGTTTCTCCTCTGGTAGAAAACATATTCTGGGTCAACTCCTGTGTTCGCGTCATCTGCATAAAGTTGTTTATATCCACTTCAGGGTTTGTATAAAACTCTTTCCATCTCATATTTGCATACCATGGTGGCAAACCTAACGCAGCGTCATTTGACATGGCAGTTTGCATTTGTACATCTGTTGGCACTTGACCATAGTTTGCCATTGCAGTTTGTATTCTAACTTCATTTGGAATATTCTCTGGGTTTGGTTGTCCAGGTTGCTGTGCATTCGCTAAGTTCTGTGCGTCCATTTAATATTAGATAAAAATATCTCTTACGAGTACATATACTGAACATTTGCAGGCATTGGTTCATCTTCATATTCTCTGTACTTTTCTGCCACGTCAAATAAATAAATGACACAATGGAAAAAACCTAAAACAAGTAGTCCTATTTCAAACCACATTTACTTACTAATAAAATTTCTTTATTGTGACACTTTCTCCAGTTTATAGGACCTCTCTCATATTCTATCTTGTCATATCTAAGCTCATAGTCATGTATGTCCTCTAACCATCTCATAACGGTTTCCAAACCACTTTTATCGGATGTAAAGTAAAAGCATGGATGGTTATGTAAAACGTCTAAAGTTTCTAAAGAGTCTCTCAAAGTCCAGTCTACTTGGTATTGAAAATCCCATGTGTTATAGAACGGCGGGTCCACTATAAAGAAAACATTTTCCTTGTCTTTATATTTTTCATACAACTCTGTCCAATGACATCTCACAAACTCTATACCCTCAATATATTTTTCTATGTCCTCTTTGAAAACATTTGTATAGTTAAGATATAAAACTTTTGACATAAGTGTTTCAATGTCATGAACTCTTATAGCACCACTATATAATAGTCTAGCAGATATACTATCCCAGTCTATATATTCTGCTTTTTTCAAAACCTCTCTCACAATATTTTTGTTATCTAATGGTATACGTTCCATCTTACCTATAGGTATCTTTTCTTTTAACTCTTTCAATATATTGTTTGTGTCTGGTATATGTTTGAGACGGTCCATATAGTTGTCGAAGTCATTGCATATAATCTTTGAGTCTGGGAATATTGTATGACATAAATGGGATATATAGAAACTTCCACCGAACAAATCTACAAATGTTAGACCATTCGGTAGTTTCTTAAGTTCTCTCAATATAATATCTTTACATCTACTCTTATTTCCAAAGAACGGTAACGGTGGTTTTGTAAAATTCATTTATATATAATAATAAAAATGTTTTTCCTGAAAAGTGACGGAAAAGTGACAAAGCATGAAAACATATATAATTTGTGAAAAGCGACACATTATATAATGTTTTCGACCCAGAAGAAGGCTTCTTCCCAGAAGCAATGGAGGAAGAAGAAGAGTCCTCCGAATTCACACCAGAAGACTAACAATTTTCCGAATAAAAACTTCATTTATACTAAACATCTTCGGGGCTAGAGGGCACGAAGTGCCTGGAAGCCCTCCGAATAAAAACTTCATTTATACTAAACATCTTCAGGGCTAGAGGGCGCAACGCGCCTGGAAGCCCCATTACCTTTTTTTTTTTTTTTATATAAATTCTATTAAAATGGATTTGATCCAAAAAAATATAAAACCAAAAATAATTGTTATAATTTAAATGAAGAAGTAATTTAAAACGATTTTATTTATGATCAAATTTTATATATTTTTTTGGATCAAATTCATTTTAATAGAATTTATATACTATTCATCTATTAGTAAACACTACCGTATATTATTTTTTAAGCTATCTTATTTTTTGAAGTTTTATTCAAATCTTTGGTCGCAAGAAGAATTGCATGATAAATAAAAACATTTAATCAAAGTCAATTTTATTTTTCATATTCAAATGGACTGAGTGTTAACATTTAACATTTTTTGCTAATTGTCGTCAAAAATTAGGCGTAAAGCAAAAATTGATATTTCATATGGTTTTATGATAGATAAGCATTATATTCCCACTCATTATATTCGTAAATTTTGAGGTTTATCCTTCGCTTTTAAGATCATTGAATTTGATTTTTATATAAAATAGTTATATATTAGAAAATAATATGAGTTTATGTGATATTATTTTTCAGAAGATTTCATTCTATATGCCTATGAAAAGTACTCTCAAAACTAACTTTTTCCTAATTATAATTAAATCTAGAATATTGTATTGTGCTTAGTATTATTTCATTTTTCTCATTCAATTTAGAATTTACAAATGTCAAAAAATTGAGAGCTGTCACTTTTGATGAATTTCTGTTTATTACAATATAAAATAAAATTTTTATTTTTACTAAGAAAAAAAGGGTTTTGATAATAAATTTATTTTATTTCGAAAAAGTAGCAATAATCGTAAAAGGGTATTGATAGGCTTGCTAAAGTAACTAATTTTAGCTGTCAAATACTTTTGTATTTTGAAGTAAATTAGTATAAATTTGTTTTTACTTTTATTTCGAAAAAGTAACAATAATCGTAAAAGGGTATTGATAGGCTTGCTAAAGTAACTAATTTTAGCTGTCAAATACTTTTGTATTTTGAAGTAAATTAGTATAAATTTGATATTATTTTAACTCCCTTTGAAAACCTCAATTTTCCATACAGAGGGAACGGGAATAGCATCCAATATTCCCTGAGAATGGTTGCGCATTCTCAGTTCCCTCTATATTTCGAACGAAGCTCTCATCGGTCTTTTTTTTTAATACTAAACGTTTTTTTTCCTGTCACTTTGGGGCGGCGACAAATTTGCCCAGCCAGTAAAGTATTCAATTTTTTTTGCATTTTTTAAGGGTGCACACGAGAGGATCATGTAAACTTCAGAATTTAGCTTCTTAAGGGTGCACCCATATGTACGTTTATTTGAGAGGAGGAGGATTACCCTCTCAATTTTGAGGGATTCGTTAGTTTATTTTCTCGATGAATATGCAATAAAATTTGATTTTTACCTTATCAATATACTCCTCATCGTCCTGGAACGAATTTGGCAATTAGAGACTTCTTTTTTCCGAATTGTTCAGGAGTTTCCATGACGACAGTAACAACATCTCCATCTGCGAGGTCTTGTTGTTGTTCGGAAAGGTAAAGAGCAATGATATGAATGGTTGCTGCGTTGAATTCGAGAAAGTCGAATTCAAATTGTGTTGTCGTATAACATTCAAACCATTTTGTACAGTTGTCTCCGAACTCGTCAACGTATTCATCTTCGTCATATCCGTAACTAAAGACTTGGAATTCAGCAATTCTCTTGTCGAATGACCGTTGCATGTAACGAGGAAGATTTTGACGAACTTGGTATAAAGTTCTCAACATTATAAGCTTAGTAAATGTTGGAAAATACTGAACTAAGACATCGCTAAGCTCAATTGGATTTGGAATTGTCTTAGTAAGTTCAATTGAACTAGCAATTGCTTTGTTCAGAACTTCACAGAACTGAGTATTGTATGTAGCGTCTGGTTGTGTGTTTTCTTCGGCGTCTTTGAGATATTTAGAGCAAATTTGTTGAAGAATTTCTCTTAATTCGCTGTTAGACTTTTTGGTGGTTATTCTAACCGCTGTGCCGGTTCTTGGAGGTTGTGGGGCTTTGGCTTTGGTTAGCGGTTGAGAATTGTTAATGTTTGAATTGTGGTTAACAGCGTTGGCTTCCATTAGACAAAAATAAACTGTTTTTTCAAATAAGAGTTTGAGATGAACCGTTTTCGTCAACGGAGACTCCCTCTATTTTTTTATTTTATTTAATAGTTACCGTTGGCAAACCGTTCCATCTCAAATATTGAATGAACTATAAACGTTTTTTGTTTTCTATATATACTTTTTTGTCCAACGGTAAAACTTTTTACACAACGGTTTTTGAGAGTCGTCGCTGTTGACTTTTTTGTAGAGCACTCAAAATAGTATAACTTTGTCCGGACAAGTAAGGGTCTATCGTCGCTACAGGAAAAGTTACGGGCGTTCCAAGGAAGTATACTTTGAGAAGCCTTTTCTCCTTATAGAATGAGATAGGACGGTTATTTTACAAAACTGACAACACTTTGACCGAGTAGTTTTTTGTGCTGAACAAAAAGTGTCATATAAACATCTGTCAAAAACCGTTTTTTACTTCACTTAAAATGCCACGTAAGCTACGTAAGAATATACGTAAGAGGAAGAGAGCATTGAAACATCCAATAGTAAAACTGACACCACAACAACAGTTGCAACAACAAATTATGAATGACCCCACTATGTTGCAACAAATGTCAAGCAACCCTATGCTTTTAAACCGAGTTATTGGTGCACAGAGTGGAGGTTTAAGAGCGGCACTTTTAGCGAAAATGGCAGGCTATGGTGGAGCTGCAGACGGAACAGCTTATAACCCTCAAAGTCAAATGAATTTGAGTTCACTCAAAAATCAAATAACAGATGTCAAAAAGTCAAACATAGACATACAGAAACAAATAAGTGAAAACGAAAAGAAACTAGAATATGACAGACAGACAAAGAAACTCAATGAGTTAAACGTAGAGAAAAAGAAGAAAGAAGAACAACTGAAAGAACTAAGTACAGAGGAATATGCGAAAAAAGTGTCAGAAAAAGCAGCAGAAGTAGCAAAAATGGAACAGATGTTATAAATTTGAAAAACCATACTACTCAATATAAAGTACTGAAAGATGAAGAAATAAAAAAAAAGCCCTGAAGACATATATGGATAGCGATGAGTATAAAAAAGAAGTTGAAGCAAATGTAAAGGCAGAAAAACTTTTACAGTTGCAAAACCAAACCGTACAGTATGAAAACTTAGCACAAGAAAGTAAAAATAACGACGCAGCCATGCAAAAGGCAATGAAAAGTGCAGAATATATAAAAGCTAATAATGACTGGTTAGATGCCCAAGCCAACGCCAAAGCAGCCCAACTTATAGGGTCAATAAGGACAAAAATACAAGCGGATGAAGACAGTTCAAATGAAGCTTTAATGAATGCTGACTTTAAGAACGCCTTCGAAGCTCTTCATAGTAAGGTGAAACTAGTGAACGACTTCTCATCTGGAAAGAAACTGAAGTCTGAAGGTTTCGACAAAGAGTTAAGAGAAGTAGCACAAAATATGACGAAAATAACAGATGCAGCAACGAGACAGGCAGTTCAAAGTGCCTATGACGCCGTTAGAGCAACTGTTGTGGAAAGTCAAGAAAAAGAGTTACAACAGACCAAAACAGACCTAGTAAATGCTTTCTTAAAAACGAAAAGTCAGGTAGGACATTATGCTGCAGATGGAACATATGTGCCAGCTGGTGGAACTTATATACCAGCTGGTGGAACTTATATACTAGCTAGTGGAACTTATATACCACCAAACCCTCCAAGAGAAGCACCTGCACCAGGACTACCTAAAACATTTACATCGTCACATGGACACAGACACAGGCATGCACCAAAACCACAACCAGCACCACAACCAAACCCTGCACCACAACCAACAGTT